ATTTTATGAAGTAGAAACATGTAATGTTTGTGTTAATAGAATAAACAGTCTTGTCAACATTTTCTTAATCAAACAAAACTATTATAGTCGTACAAACTCGAATAATATCTAAGTCATTTAAATTAAAAAGGATGGAAAGTATTTCATTCAACATAACTAAAGTTTCTTAAATCATACAGTCTCAATATCCTTTACTTTAATGTAGTCAATACTTTCATTCTTATTCTAATTATTTTATGAAAGATGTACTATTAAATAGAAGAATAGAATGAACAATATTAACACATAATCATTAATCTCATAATAGACTCTTTTTGAATGATGTTATTAATATGTTTTTGGTACATTTCAGACAAAATACTTGTTCATTAAAGAATATAAATAAAGTACAAATTCAGAACAAGTTGAAGAAGATAAGAACCAAAGAAAGTATTGGAAGAAAGATGAAGGTTCAAATAAAAATGATGTAGACTAAGAAGATAAAACAATAGCAGAGAAGCATTGACATGAAAATAATTGTCTGACAATGGAAATTTTTCAAAGAAGAATCAACTCCTCGTTCTACAAAGTAGAAAGATTAAACAATCAAAATCAATTAAATTTAACAAAAGAAGGAAGAAGAAAATAAAAGCAAAGAATACCAACTCAACCAATGATAAATATTGTATTTTATAATTACAAGAATCTTAAAAGAATAATTCAGGAATGGGGGTGTTAAGAAAAGAAGGTGATAAAATGATATAGTGAATAGGAAAGAAAAATTCAATTAAAACAACAACAAAAAAAATAAAAATAAAAAAATAGAACTATATAATAATTACAAGATGAAATAAGTTTTAAAAAGAATTTAGAACTAAGAAAAAAACTAAATAAAAGTATATACTATGAATATATTAGGTATATTTGCAGGTATTTTTATTATAGGACTATTTCAATATTCAGAACAATTTAATAGTGGGAGATTTGAATTCCAAAAGAACGATGAGAAAGTGTCATCAGAAATGGTTAGAGTTACAATAAATAAATATATGTGCCAACAACAAGAGATTCTTCCAAAAGGAGTTGTTCTTCCATTTGAATTACCCGATATAGTATATTTATGTATTGGGATTTGTTCAATGATTTTATTAATTATTTGTTCAAGAATAAAAAGAACAGGAATAATTCAAACAATGATGATCTTTTTAATAACAGGTATTTTATTCTTTATTTCAATGTTTGGATTTATTTTCTATTTAAATATGACAAGTAATCCAATTGTTTGTGGACCAATTAAAAAATTCATTCTTCCAACTATCCAAGTACTTGGAGATAGTTCTATTCTTCAAAGAATAACAATTCAAGACTTACCAATTTACCAACAACTACTTCATTATTATCCAAAAGCACAAAATTATCTTAGTCTTTTTATTAAGAAAGCATCTGTTATTGGATTAAATTCACCAGTTTTGTTAATGACTATAGGATTTTTCCTATTGTCAAAGAAAAGTATTCAAACTACAAGAACCACAGTTGTTTCATTAGTCACAGCAATAGTTGTTATGATGACATCAATTGACTATATCAAAGAAACACAAGACATTCTTTCATGTGTTATTTGTTCAGTGATAGTAATAATATTGGTTTTAATTATTTTTAACTCTATGGTTTCATATGGACATTTATTCTTATTACCAATTATTCTAGTTAACTGCTGTTCAGTTGTAATTGGAATGTATCGAGTCTTTGTAATAGAAGTGTTCATCTTATTTATGATTGTCTACGTCTTCTCTTTACTTTACATTTATTTCTGGTCAAATGGATATGCTGTAGTTGCATCAACACTCATCTTCCTTGGAATGAGCCAAATAATACCATTAAGAAGTGGTTATTTACTTGCAACTATCTTCTTATTAACGGGATTCAAAAATTAATTGATCTTTTTTTTATTTAGTGAAAGACTTTCTTTTATAAATGAAAAATTGACATTAAAAAGAAGTAAAATTTAAAGTTCATGATATCCCAAAAAGTCATCGTTAGATCCAAAATATTTTAATGCACCAAATGCCATAACACAAACTAATGCATAAACAAACCACCAGAATGCCCATAATATCCACAATGTTCTTCGTTCTTTAATTCTTTTTGGACCAACTCTTGGTGTATAAACAATTGGAACATATTCTGGAGCTTCTGTTTGGAATTCTGAGTCAACAGCAACAAATCCAACATCTTTTGCTGTTTCTCCACCAACAAAAATGAACACAGTCTCTCCTCGATTTAAGTCAACACTAACATAAGTTCCTCTTGTTGAACATGATTGATAAGAGACTGTATGTTCTACTATGCATTGGTCAGGAATATTAATATCATTAACAGCACTACAACTTCTATAAACACCCATTCTTGTTCTTACTGAAGTAGCAGCGTTGCAAGTGTTAATATGTAACTTTCCTTTAACTGTAGAAGAATATTTATACCACACTCCTTTTAAGTGATTCTGTGTTCCTTTCTTTCTTTCAAATCTTCCAAATGTTAATGAATCAATGTTATGACTTATATCTTTAGAACAAGTACTTACTGATTCAATTGCATATTTAGTAAGTGCATATTGTGTTAATCCAGGAGTTAATAATTCTGCTCGTTGACAAGTTGAATGAGATGGTGGATTGAGTGTATAAACATTGAGTCTAAATGTACCTTCAGTGTCTATTGCTTTACTAGCTTCAGAAACATAAATATAATATTCTGCTCCTTGCTGTGCTTCAAATTTTACATATGAAGCAGAGCTACCACATTCTGGAGAGTCATCATTAGATAATACACAGCTAGCATCATTACCACATCCTTGGAATACTTCAACATACGTGTCAAATTGAGTTTCAAGACCACAAGTTTCTACGACCATTGTATCTGTTACAGGACTTTGGAAATAATAGTAAATACCTGTGTGTTTGCCAACAAGATTAGCCGCACATACAGGATTTGTTGTTCTTCCAGTATTTGGTTTATATTCAACTAAGGTAAATGGTGCGTTAAATTCTAGTGCTGTTTTACAAGTGTCATGTTGTAGTCTATGGTCTTCTCTTATGAAAATACCAAGTTGTCCTTCAGTCTCATCTGTAGTGATAAAGAACATAACTGTTTCTTTTGGTTTTAGTGTTAAATGTTGAACAGACAACTGTCTTTCTTCACACTCCAATGTACAACTTCGGTACATTTGAATTTCTGCAGTGTGTTTAGTAGAAGAAGCCAAAAGTACATTTGTTTGAATGAATAAAGGAAAAGCATATTTATAATTATTTACAACTTTATACCACAATCCTTTTCTTGGTTTAACTCCACCACATTTTGTTTCAGATGTTCTTGCAGTAGTGATATCAAAAGAGTCTGTAAAAGAGTCTGTTCTACTTGTAATTTCCACAGTTTTAGCAATGATACAACTATTTATATCTCCTTGTGTATTTAATTTTTCTACGTTCAAAGTAACTCTACACTGAGTGTGAGGGTTTGTACAACTAACTTTAATAAAATAATTTTTATTCATTTCTAGTTTTTTACTAATCTTACCATGTAATCCACATCCATTATCATTCATAACACATTGACTATTTGAATTACAACTTTCAAATATTTCTATCATTGTTCCATCTTGAGGTCCATTCATACTGTTACAAGTATATAAAATATAATCATATCCATCTCCTACAATTGAATACCATGCCCCAACTTTTTGTTGAGTATTACCACATGACATACTCAATGTGTTTCCATCTAATTTAGTTGTACTTGAAAATGGTAATGAAGTAATTGCAGTAGATTTTTCACATGTTTGAGGTACAATTGTATTTTCTGTTTCAAACGCAACAATAAACATTCCTCTTTTCTTTGGAGTAGAAGATACATGAACATTATAAACTTTACCTGGCTGTGTATCAATAAATATTTTTGAACCCATATTTTTATTATCACATACTCTAGTTTGAACTGAAATTGGATTCATTAACTCACAATTATCAAATACATTAATTATTGTATCTACATTAGTTGCTCTATGACATGTAGAAATATGAATCCTATCCCCATTACCTTTGATAGTATAAAACAATCCTGATAACCCTTTATAATTAGGAGCAATACCTGTTGTAGTAGCTTCTCTGTATGTTGGGTATTGATTAATCTCTTGGGCATATTTACACTCTTTATTACTTGTTGCTGGTAATTTGTTGATCCTTAATCCAAAAATTCCAACATCATTTACATCAGACCCAGTAATAAAAACAAAGAACGTTGTTTTTCTTTTGTCATTAAATATCAACCTAGCAGCTGAACCACAACCTGTAAAACTGTCATCATTCATTGATAATAGTTGTGTTCCAATGCCTCTTGAACAACCTCCAAAAACAATGATTTTTGAATCAAAATTTGTTGTTCCAGACAAACAAGTATCTATTTCAATATTATTACCTAATCCATTAGTATGAATTCGATACCATTTACCCTTCTGTTTTATCATTTTTCTTCCAACTCGATAAGATGAAAGAGTAGATTGAGTAGTGTCTTCTGTAACAGAAAATTCATTCATAGTTGTTAAGTCAACTAATGTAGCAGAAGAGCACTGATTATTAAATGCATAACTTATTTGTAGAAGTGCTAGAATTAATAGGATCATAAAATACCTCAGTCAGTTTAATTATTATTTCAAGTTCTCAATCTTATTATCTCTTTTTGGTGATTTTTAATAAGTTATAACCATCAGTTATTCAATTATTAAATTATGTTATATATGACTTAAATTATATTTTAATAATGGGTATTATAAAATGTAAATAATAATTTAATAACTAGTAAAAAAATAATAAAAGAATAATAAAAAATAAATCACCAAATCGAACTAGAATAATGAAAATAAAGTGAATGAGTGAAATTAAATACAAAAAACTCACAACTAAACTTGATAAAGGATTGAATCTTTGTCTTTTTGAAACAATATTCAATTGGAGACAAGTTAATGGATTAAAACACGATGACTATACAAGATATAGAAGATTTTGTTCACGTAGAATTAAGAGAATAAGACAAAAAGTCCAATTAATCAATAAATGGGAAAAAAAACAATTTAAACAATTAAAGTTAGTTGCTGAACATATGAAAACTTCAGAATGTTTAATGATTCCTTTATTAAAAGTAGAAAGATGTTGGGCATATGCTAATGAACTTCAACCTGTTGATGAAACTGAAGCAAGAAAAGGACATCATCAAAAAAGAAGACTTCACAAAATGAAACAATATTGTGAAGAATTTATTGGATTAATGAAAGGATGTAATAAAAGAACTCAAAGAGAAATTACAGCATATAATTTATATATGAAAGGAATGGTAGCATTTGAAGATCATCAATACGAAGATGCATTAAAGTATTATTTTAAAAGCATTACTATCATTGGTTATATTGATGCAGAAATGAGTGAAGAAAGTAAAATTATCTTTAGAGATATTGTAGATGATGCCAATGCTAAAATCAGAGTTTGTAAAAAGTGAAGGTACAGAAATTAAAGAAGAAGAAGAACTTAAAGAAA